CCCCTCCCAGGAGACTCGAGGAGCGGTGCAGGGTAGCTGGAGTTGCTACTGTTGGATCAAGTGAGGATTGAGTTTATCCTCTTGAACAAATGTAAGGAATTTGAGAAATTATGTAAACCTATTTAATATTGAATTTACTAGACTGTGGATGATGTCTATTGTAATTGATTATTTACATGTGCATGTATGTACGATACTGTATGTCCTGTGGGGTGGAGCCCTATGTGTTAGAGGCTCCTGGATTATGTCGTTTATTTATATTTTTATGCAGTTAAGTGTGGGACCCGGTTAGGAATCTGCTTTATTAATCCCAAATCGAGTTCCACGTCACCCACCCCATTTGGGGGGCGTGACACTTCTTAGGTTTTCAGGCATAATGTTTTGAGAAGTTCCCATTAACATTTTTCGGGAGAAGATGATTTGAAATGTTAAAGGAAGTTCAACCATTTATTATTTTTTGGGAGAAGAAGTTGAAGCTTTCGGGAGAGCAACTTGCCAGACGAAGGGATTTCACTGTACAGTTTTGAAGACGAGTGGTGCTCGCTAAATCAGGCTACACGGCGATGGTAAATTTTAAAGAGGGAGTTTTTATTTGTATAAGTCCGATTGGTGTTTGTAATCGTAGAGGATTAGTGGATTATTCAATGTCTGGGCGCGGCCCCACGAATGTAGGTGGCTACCGAATTGCGATACTAATTTCACGTGCCTATCTATTTATTGCTTTCATAGTTTATTAATTTAACTTGATAAAATAATTGCAAAAAAATGGTAATAATTATCCAAAACGCAATCAAATTTTTAATGTTTTCTCTGTTTATTTCAAAGGTGTTTAACAGTATTATCTTTTGACCAAATTTTTGTTTGCGTGTTTTGGTTGCTAATTCTGATATTGATTAAGATATAGTTTGTAACATTTATTTTAAGATACAACAAACAATAAAATGAAAGAGAATAAAAAATCCACCGATCGGTCGTTGTTGGAATTTTTTTTTTCTTTCTAATCAGTCGTTGTTAGATTTTGATGACCTCCACCCCACTAAGCTATCTGGATTCATTAGTATTAAAAGTTTTAATTACTACATTATAAAACTAATGCAGCATATATATATATATATGCTTATCTTATGTTAATTTATTTCAAACAAGACTGATGCGATTAACTATCTTAAAGAATATTTGGTCAAATCCTGACGATTTTCTTTCTTCCCTGAGGCAAAATCTCAACCAATTATGCCACCAGTTTTGATATGATAATTTAATTTATTGTTTTTTTTTTCTTTCTTTTTGTTGGGAAGATATATTATATACTCAACAAGAAAAGGAATTCAACACAAGACGAACGTTAGCAAATGATATTTTAATGTAGTAGTAGTGCTCAGCTGAAACACCGTCCTAGCTAGGCACTTAATTTTCTCCGAATTGCTTAATTATTTATTAATTTGTTGAGTGTAAATATGATCTCCAGCTGTTATATAATTAACATTATCGCGGGGTCATGGCCTTTTATATACGAATGTGAAACTATTATAATAAACTAATGGCGGGACAATATTCAACAACATAAATTGATTTATATATATATATATATATATATATATTATTGGGGGAGTCGTCTCAGGCTTGCACGTAGACCTATACATGTAATGTGTCTCTCGCTTGAGATTATAAATTGATGAGATAGACAATCACCGGGTCGGCGATCGTTCGTCGCCGCCACTGGTTTATATATATTTCTTCTTTCTTTTACTTGAAAGACCAATAAAACGATTTAACAAGTTCCGTCATATGTTCCAGCACAAGAAAAATTAATTAATTAAAAATAAAACACTTGTATTGGAGTTAAGAAAATACACACGTCGGACGGTTGGCTGGGGACCCAGCAGCAGTACCGGGCGGCGAGGGGGTATATTATTCATATATACAGTTTAGATTTTCTTTTTTTTTTTAAAGAAAAATAGGCAATATATATATGTATATATATATATTATGTGATGAGTGAATATTGATGGGTATGTATATCCCCCAGATTAAAATGAAGCGGTGGACTGTACCTTCATGAGATATGTTGTAAAAATGTGATTATCCTTACTTCCGTTTTATAGTTTGTTTTTGAACGTTAGATTATATCGAAATATGAACATATTGCGGTGGTATAAATGTATGGAATAATTTTCTCATATTATTATTATTATTTTATTATGATGACGATGGATTGTTAAGAAGGAAGAAAGACGACAAAGAAAAAAGAGGGTGTATTCATAGCCAAAAAAAAAAAAAGTGTCCGAATGAAAACGCGGACAGATGTCTAGATGGCAGAGAGAGAGAGAGAGAGGTGAGAAAGTTCAAAACGCGCTTCAGAAATACGTCACCTCCAAACCTATGTTTGTACAATTATAAATATAAATTCATTTATTAATTATTAATTGTCTTTTTAGTTTGGTCGGGGCCATTCTGATTTATCCACGTAATGCACTCTCTGACCAAACACAGCACAGTAGTGTGTTCCTATGAAATGAAATGAATAATTAATGTTCAACCCAATCTCACTCGAACACCTCCTTCAAAATTTAAACTTCAAGATCAAACCAAACAAATAATTATTTATTTTTTAAAAATTAAAAAAAGAAAAAAAAAAGAAAAGAAAAAACCAAACACACACATGACAACATGGCATGGCCTTAATTCTTTGGCTGTTTTCATCCATCAAACAAGAAAGAAAAGAAGAAATTATTGTTTGTTGGCCAAATGTATATCCCATCCTTATCCTTTTTCCCTTTTTAGATTTAGATAAACCTTGCTCCAATTCCAATATCTATATGCTATCATTGTTTCATTTTCTCACTTTTTTTCTTCTTTTTTTTTCTTTTTAGTATTTTTAGTCTCGTTTATTTTGTTGATTTGAGTTTAAAATTCGAGTTGAGATGTGATTTTATATGAGAGCTTTTTACTGTAGTAAAAAAGTTAAATATAATTATTTATGATAACTTTTTACTGTAAAAAAATTTAAATTCTAAACTCGAATCAACAAAGGGAACGGAACCTTACTTTTCAAGCTCACCTGGCCGGGCTACTGCATCTGCAGACCGACCTAAAATAATTAAAAAAAAAAGAAAAAGGAAAAAAAAAAAAAGAAAGAGAGACTAATAAAGTGAGGAGGAGTACATTAATGGCTAGAAACATGACATGTAATGCCAACACGATTGATTGATTGATTGATTGAATGCAGTTAAAAGTAGTAGGTACGAAGCTATAAATATAGAGGCCAAGCTAGATGGCATGAGAATATAAAAATAAAATAAAATAAAAATGTCGAAATAATCTGGCAAGCTTTACCTTATCATCCAAGTGAGCAAACGAATGATTCACAAATGCCCAAACGCCACTCTCACACACGTAAATATATATACGTCCTCTAGATTTATTCCCCCAAGCTACTCTCCTACGCAACTTCCACACTCGCCAACAAATAGACCCTCCTGCTTCTGTTTCTTCTTCTTCTTCTTGACCTCTAGTTTTTAATTGCTGTTGGTCGTATCATATACACATACATACCTACAGAGAGACTAGACTAGCATGGCTTCGGATGAGAGCATGACCGTCCGATCTTGTATTTCTTCTGTGCAGGAAGAGGAGTTTGATCATGAGGATGATATAGAGGGCGGGGATTTCTATCAACCCCACCAGTACCAGTGCCAGTGCCAATTCCATCCTCACAATAAGTACTTCTCCAGGCTTTCCGTGTGCACCACCACTCCAACTGATGATCCCGAAGAACAAGCTGCTGGAACAAACCCAAACCATGAAGATGATCCCCAAGATCACAATGTCATGGGGATGTACCACATGATGTCGGGGTTGTCCATAGAAAACTTTGATGGTGACGACGGCGACGTCGAGGATGAGTTGTCCGACAGCCGATTCAAACCAACCAAGAAAGGAGGACTGGATCATCATCATGATCACATGGGCCTCGTTAGAACGTCTGACTCCGATGAAGAATCAGGCGGTGGCTGTTACTCTCTTCCGGCGACGCCACCCCGCCGGATGAGACCTTCAGGGTCAGCTGGGAGGAATCACCGGCGGCGGCGTAGTGGAGATGCAGGCAAAGAGTGTGTGAGCGAGAACGAGGCGGCCGCTGATCGTTCAAGGCGGAGGAGAAAGAGAACGGTCACGAGGGAGACGTTGCTGCGTGACACAAATAAGTTTCGAGAGGAGGAGACGATATTGATGATGGAGATGCAGGACAATCCGGCTCATGAGAGAAGTCAGAGAGTAGCAGCAGTAGTAGGAGATGATGATATTATTGATGAAGATGATGATGAGCATAATTCAAAGTGCAGCAGCACAGGAGGAGAGAGTCAGAGTGAGTCATCCTCAGTACTGCCGATGGTGGTGAGGCCGAACGGGGGGAAGAGGTCGCTGCGAATGGATTTGGAGGAAGTCAAGGCTTGTAGAGAGCTTGGATTTGAGTTGGAGACGCCATTACCATTGCCATTACCATTGCCGTTGCATACTCCTACCGTACCTAATAATCTCTCCGCCGACACTGCCAGTACCGCCACCACTAGCGGCGGCAATTCCCCGGTTCATTGGCGCATCTCCAGCCCAGGTTGGTTCTCAAACCTCAACTCTTTTATCTTTAATTTGCTCCACGACGTAAACAAATTAATTAGCTAGGAATGAATGAAGATGATTCATATGCAAAGTTAAGTCGGGGGTAGGAAAATAGGGACCAAAGTGTAAAACCTTTCTCTAATTACAATGTTTGGTTGGATTCTATTTTCTCATCTTTTAATTTCAAGGATCAAAATTGGAGTTCTACAAGGATTTTGAATCTCTCCCGCCGAACTACTATAAATCCTAGAATCCATCCTAAAAATTCTCCCACCTCTATTTCACCTTCCACTTTTCTCTCCTAACAAACAAGGCCTGAAGCTTCTTTTATCCATTTATTATGTTTTTTTCCTCGTCATAAGTTTATCTGATAATGGAAATAACAATGATTAACGACGTCGATTCTATATATACATATACATATACGTATATTTTGTTTGCTCCAACTCTAGCTGATGGACTGAACTTCAGGTGACGATCCCCGGGATGTCAAGGCTCGCCTAAAGGTTTGGGCACAGGCGGTGGCGCTCGCATCAGCATCTCGCCAGGCCAGTTGACATATATGGGCTTTTTTTGATAAATATTTTATTTTCTAATAGTACCAAGATCTGTTTGTTTTCATGTAATGTACTCTATGATTTGAGGGTGACTGGGTTTGGCCTGTACGGGATCTTGGAGAAGGGAAGGCAAATCAGCTTCACCCAATTTTCTTTGGCCGAGACTTGTCATTGATTTTTCTTCTTCTACATGTAAATACAACATAAACAATACCATAAAGGACAGGACTGGAGTTTTAAACCGTATCTAGGCTTATTAGAATTTAGTAGATGAAGAAGCATGGGATTTGCTCCTGTGTACTGGTGACTTGTATTGTATTGTTTTCTGCGTGGGATTTCTGTAATTAAAGCAATGCATTGAGACAAAAATGATAAAAGGCACAAAAATAGGGTCAGCATAACTTCATATTTACTGCATAGACACTTTGTCTATTCTGTTCTCCACATCCTATTATAAGAATAAACTCTCATACAGAAAACCAAAACCACATGATGCAATTGAAACATATTACAGGCGTCGAGACAACGGCAACGGTCAGTAGAAGATTTAGGCGGGTAAAGGTTAACCTTGTGGAGTGAGAATATGTCACGAAAGTCGGAACATCGCTGCAGAGGAAAATTTTGAATTTCAGCCTCTCACAAGTCACAAATTTTGAAAATGAAGAGAAGGAAAGTTATAAATAATACTTAGGGGTTAGGGAGGAAAACAAAAATGAGAGATATTTGCGCAGCTTGGATTGTTCGAATAACAGATTTAGGATGGTGAAGGTCAACCTTGTGGACTGAGAAGAGTATGTCATGGAAGAGGAATCCTCGCTGCATAGCAGAGTAAAACAATAATTTCAGTCTCCCGCAAAGCCGCAATTGAAATTGAAGAGAAGGTAAGTTAATGAAGAGCTAACTAAACGGGAAAAGAAACTTGAAAGAGACCGAGAAGCTTGAATAATTTCAACATTAGAGATTTTGGAGGGTAAAGGTTAACCTCGTCGGCTGAGAGTCAGAGTATGTCACAGATGATGAATCCTTGCTGCAGTGCAAAGCAAACTTTTAATTTTCACGCTATATTTAGTGGGAAGGATTTGAAAGCAAGACATAGAGATGGAGAGAGAGAGAGAGAGTGTGTGAGAAATAGAAATTAAGAGGGAGAGAATTTTCTTTTCTTTTATTTATTTATTTTTTTCCTGTTGTGTTGTTTGGTATGATAGAGATATTTTATCTTTTGTGTACTGCAAGTGAAAGTGGACAGAAAGAAGTATTATTTATCAAATTACAATTTACTTTCTTGTTAACTTTCTACCAAGCAGAAAAAAAACAAAAACAAAAAAAAGTCCTACCAAACAGCTTAACTTTCTCCATTTCCAATCTAAAATCCCTCCACCTTCTTCTATTTTTAATCCTTGCGAACCATAGGGGCTCACAGGGTCGCCAACTGAAAATTGCAATGGAGAGAGGAATTTTGAAAGAGACGGCCAAGCTCCTATTATTGCCTTAAGTAATATGCAAAAATGCAACAGTAAAATCTGAGTTCAACTAATTTATTGAAATAGCTTAACGAATAGCACCTTGGAACCAGCACTGAACAATTTATTTAGACAAAGCGATAGTTACAGTTTCCTGAATTGATAGTTCGAGAGAATGAGGAATTGAGAGCCGTACATTCTGAACCGACTTACTTGAACACAAGATTGTGGCATGTGGTGTCACAAGGATAAGCACAATCAATAGCTTTAACCCCTACTCTATCAAAGTACCAGTCTCCAACAGACACTGCAATTGCCTGCAAATACAATTGTAAATAAATTAAAGGCAATTCGATATCAAAATTATATTTCTGTACCAGAGGTTTCGTTTGATATGATGAATCATCGGGAAATCTTTGATGCCAGTAATTAGAAAACAAGAGGTACTTAAGTAGGGACGTGCCTTGTTTCCAACAAGAGGAGAATCATCAGCAAACCATGTATCTTGTCTCTCAGACTGGCAGTGGGCAAAACAAGAATTTATGAACAAACCATTTTGACTGGACGCTGAAAAATCTCTAATGGCATTGAGCATTTGATCTCTGAAGTCTGCTTCATAGGAAAGCGCAAAGCCATTACTTAAGTTTCTCAATGTTCATACAGTATACTGGGGCGGATGCCATGCATAAGGAAATCAAAAGATAAAAAGAAACCGGCAATAAGAATCACCTTGAAGAAACTGGATTTGGGATGAATTACAATGTGCGTGATTTAATTTACATTCGTGCCATGAGCCGTGAGGATCAGCAGATGGAGGAGCTAAACTCGCTTGGAGCTGTTGAAAACAAACGCACAAAAAAAAAAATTGTATATATCAAAATCTAGTAATTGCCGTTTCTGTAAGAGGCAAATCTGGGAGCGACTCTGCTGGGCTAAATTTCATGTCTCGCATCTTGGAAACTGAACTCAACAATCACCCCAAAATACAAGGAAAGTACAGTTGAGTAACAATACCTCTAAGAGAGAGAACAATCAATTGTCCTATAAATCTACAGTAGCACCACACATGACATGCATAGTTTTTGAGTGGGCAGAAACGTATAAAAGTAATAAAAATAAAGACCAGCCAGCACCAACACAACTTTGGATGAAATGTGTAAGACTCTTTCCAAGTCCGAGATGAATGGTAATGGGAGATTACCTGCCAGGCATCATAAGCCGCGTTTAGAAGAAACAAAGGGGTCTTGACATTTGCAATCAAATTCTGAGGGAAGAAGCACTGAGAAAGAGAGAGGGGAGGGTTATTGAAATTCTGAATTGCTGGATATCAAGCAATCAAGAAAAGAGAGAGAAGATCAACCGAGTTGGGATCGAGGTGGTTGGTACAAGTTTGCGGTAGATTCTTATTCACTTCCTGCAGTTGATAAAGAAGGATGACGAAACCATCAAAATGTAACGTCTTATGTAGAAGCAAGCAATAACTAATACGTGAAAACAAACGGCTGTAGAGGTACTATCTATAGTCTATTTGATTCTATACTACCTGCAAGGAAACGACACCTGCAAACAAATTCCTTAGGGTGTGGCCACCCGATACATCAGTCCTGCGAAATAAGTGCGTGCAGCAGTTAAGTTTGTAGTTTGTAGTTTGTAGTTTGTAGTTTGTAGTTTGTAGCAAGAAAGAAAGGAAAAAGTAATATATGTATGCATAAATGTTGTTGTCTTGTTATTACGCATCGAGGAAGAAACCAGCATCGCTAAGGCATTTGACACGTGTAGTTTGTGGAAACAAGTCCCTAAACTCATCACAATGAAGTATTGAAGCAAGACCTCCAGCAGAACATCCAGATAGAAGAGCCTATAATATAATATTAATCCAAATAATTCAAACACTATGAATGGATGAATGAAAAAGGAAAATCCAAGTAAAATAAAATAAAAATTAATGCAATCCAAATAAAATAATATTAATCATTAAGCAGGACCTGACCTGCTGCGCATTCTTCATTCCCTTGGAAAGTAAGTCTTCCATGGCGGCTAACCAAATCCGTTGTCCTCTAAAGTTAAGTTGCGCATCCTGATGATGAAATTGAATGAATGAGTACTTACATACTAACAGGATCATTTTCCTTTTAATAATTTAGTATAAAGCAAACATGTCTTGATTTGATTGAGTTTTGTTTTATTTATGTAATTAAAGAGTAGTAAACAAAAGAATTTATTATATATGAAATAGAGAAGAGCTGATGGAATATGGATCCAGCTACCTTATTGAGAGAGTCGCCGCTGAATGAAGCGCCGTCGCAATAGCGGAGCTTGACTCTGTTCCAATTAAAGAAATCTGGATTGTCTTGAGGCTTGTCACTCAAAATTCCGGTGAAGGGAAGCTGCTTCTCCATGTAATGGGAAGAGCCGCGGCGAGTAGTCTTGCGATAAACGCAGGAGCGGATGGAATTACACCAACCACCGCCCTCCAACTGAATGAGCCAGCTGTTGTCTCCAGATCCGTACCCTCTGTGGATATGGTACCCAGGCAGTGTTCCATCCAAACACACTTTACAGTTTACAACAAACCTCAGAATAGACATTTGGTTTTATTTTTATTTTATTTTTACTTGTAAGAAGAAGAAGAAGAAGAAGAAGAAGAAGTTGTTCAAGAAACTAGAAAGCATATATATATACATATATATATATATGAATACATGAAAAAATGAATGTAATGTACCAGCTCCGGTGGAATCAGCAGAAGGGATGAGAGTGAGTGGGACCATCAGTGGTTGAGGTTGAGGCTGAGAATCAAGTCCTAATGCTTCTGCTTCTGCTTCTGCTACCTCATAATTCTCCATCGATTCATCATTAGCCGCCACTACCACCACCGCCAACGCCGCCGCCATCATCACAAACATCGCCGCCACATTCACCTTCATCTTTCTTCTTATTCTTCTTCTTCTCCTTCTTCTGAATTCACGATTAGTACTAGACTACTAGTACCAGTGTTACTTGTGCTTATTCCAAAATACTAAAAAGAAATCTAAAATCTAGTCATTTTTCCTTTTCATTTATTATTACTCGGTGTTTATTCCGAAATAACAAATAACAATGCTGCTCCCTCCCTCACTGTCATTTTTCTTTTTTATTATGAGAGATTCTGCTGTGTTGGTCTCTTTTCCCCAGTGTTCCCCCCTTCCTAGTTTTTTGTTTTTATTATGATTATTTTTTTTACAATATTTTATTATTTTCAAAACCAAACGTAACGCACGCCCTCCAGTCTTCGCATGCTGTTAGAAAAGGCATTATATATATTTTTCTTTTTTCCTTTTCCCCCATAATAAATAATAATATGCGGAGGATGTGTATTACTTGTATTGTATTGTATTTATTTATTTTATGGTGTAAAGTGAGTGAGAGTGTCACAGTAAAAGCAGGAAGGCGTGTTTTGCGCTGTTTGGTAATGCCAATGCTCCCAATTTTACCAAACCATCCACAACAGCGGCAACAAACACGCATCTCCTCCTTTTTCTATTTTTAGACTTACTACTCTCTTTCCTTTTTTAAAATAAAATATATAAAAAAGAAAAGAAAATATCAAGGAAAAGGGAAAGTAGCATTGTGTAAAAAAAGTCATGAATGAAAATGAATGGTTGGGTTACGTAATGGGTATTGTGTAGTATTGTGGGCGAACAGCTGTTTCCATCGAAACGAGTGGTACTGGTGACTGGTGGTGAGCAGTGAATTATTCAACCAAACGACATCTCATAGAGAGATATCATCACACACATATATATATATATATATAATAATGTCTAATTATTGCTTTTCATACTCATGAGCGAGCTGCCTTTCTTTTTTTTTTTTTTTTTTTTTTTTTTTTTTCCTTCTTTTGCCTTCCTTCATTCACACCCGCACATCCAACACAGTAATTAGACAACGCCAACCAATCTAATCTAATCTAACATTGTAAGAATATGGTGTCCCTTTTCCATCTCAAGCTTGGTACTCCATTCATTTTAAACCAAAAATGTCAATCTTAAACACAAAATAATGTTAGTATACTTGTTGGACTTGTAACTAGAAAGCAATCACTTAATATAAGTAGTAAAAAATAATTTAAAAAAAAAAGAAAAAAAAAAACCTCTCGCCTTTCTTGTGTTTATTCGTGTGCATCTTATGTATTTATTTTATCACATGCTAATACAACTCATTCGTTATTAATTATTAACGTGGCCACCGACAGGGTTACAATTCGCAAAGTTGATTTCTCTCTCTCTCTCTCTCTCTCTCCCCCCATTTCAACTGCCGCCTACCTTCCTGCGTCATTCCAAAACCGCCGCCTACCTTCCTGCTTTTCTCATTGTTCCCATTCCATACAATACAAATGCATTTCCATCCTAACACTAGACCACCACAACAATCTAACCTTTTTTTTCCCCCCTAAAATTAAACTCTGAAGCATTTAATTTAATTAATCAAATTAAACGAATCTTCTTACAAAAACGGATCACTTTTATTTATAGTATTAAATAAATTCAAGGGTATCCACCCAAGCCTTACGGCTCTTGTCCAATTTCCAAAATCAACTCAATCTCATCGGAATAAAATATAAAAAACAAATGAACCAACTGAATGTATCATTTGAAAAATGGAACTTTATCCTCTGGCCTAAACCCTAGCTCTCGATTCTATCTCATTCTCAATGAAGCTCGATTTCTACCCAACTCCAATTTAGGAAAAGAAAAAAGAAAGAAAAAAAACCCTATCAAGAAATGGAGCTACTTGACGGCATCTCATCACCTTCTTCAGCAAACTGATAATGCTCGTATACTTCAAGTAGTAATTCCCTACATGGTACCACAGCCCCAAGCTTGATGCAAGCCAAAAAGGCACCTGAAAGCTTGCGATGAAGACTGTATGCCTCATCGGGCGGCGGCGTCAGCCTGTGCTTCAGCATTGTTGCCCCAAGGTTCGAAATACTCTGCATAATATTGGTGGACCGAAAATCATATCCACTGGCTCTTGAGAAAGGCAACCCAACGACAAAACCGGCTTGGGCATGAGCCTCTAACATTATCTCCGACTCCATCCCTGTGAGGAATCCAAGTCTCTGAGACATCTCAATGACTGCGTCTCTATCTCCATTTGCACAAGCAAGAACCTGATCAAAGATGCATTGGAACTTTAGCGCAGAACAAATATATTATATATGCATCGTTATATTCTTAAGAGACATGCAGTTCAATACCTCATGATGCCGGGAGGCTTAATCTTAAAACAAAAATAATCCAATATAACAGGGGTTTGTAAGTGAGGTTAACACCCTTAATATGTTGAGCAAATTGAAAAGACAGGGCTATGCATTGAGCAAGTAAAAGAACAAGTAGACTTAACCATTCTTAAATAGTCATCAACAAAACGTTTCGGGTAGTCTCGAGCTGCTCCAAAGTCGATCAGATTGATTGTTCTAGTGGACTCATCGTACAAGAAATTACCCCAGTTAGGATCAGTCTGCATCACATCAAACACAACACAAGCAATGCAAGTTGAGAGCTAAAGCTAAGAAAAACCAAAAATGACTCGACTTGAGAACCTCATAACTTTCAAATGACAGGACATGCCTGCATAAACCGAAAGACAAATAACTCCATCAATGTGAGTTCTAGCAGCTTCTTCCCCACATAGTTACGAGTTTCCTGGCTTAATAATGCCACTTTATCAATGGGAATTCCTGTACCAATAGAAAATTAATCATCACCAAAGATGTAATTATTAATGAATAGAAAATTAATCGTCACTGAAGATGTAATTATTAATGAAGTTCAACTCTACATAATGAAGAATCAAAATCCGTTTGGATAATTTACAACAAAACCTATTGAAACAAGATAAAAATTCAAAAAAAAAAAATTTAAAAGGAAAATCCCCAGAAGACGACCGTCAGAAGTTGAAAACGAGGAATAGAAGAAATATCATTTCTCCAATCTCATTTCCACAAATGCTTAGTTAAAATTGAGAGAAGCAGATGCAAAATACAATTCACCTTATTGGGTTACCGTCTCCTATTTTATTCACATTGTTTCCTCCTCAATTTCACAATTTATTCAAACTGATAGTAATTTAAAACGCCAGTGACTAATACATGTGTATTGGTATTGAATTCGAAGTTTGCTTCCAGGTTCCTTGGAAAACGTTTAAAAAGTAGTAATTTGAAACCCCAATTAGTAGTGAATCACAATGTGGCCTTTCTACAGGGATTTGAGTTCCTAGAACAGCTTGTAAGCTTTTAGGCATCCAAAAGAACATGATAAATCGGCCAGAAAGAGAGAGTTGCTCTAAAGAGTAATTAATCAATTTCTTAAATTCATTTCTATCATAATCACGCATATTGAAAGCTCTTCCTTTCGATTTAAAAAAGAAAAAAAAAGCTTATTTGTTAGGATCACGGGACACAAATCTCATAACCAAAGCAAAAAAAAAAAAAAAAAAAAAAAAAGCCATTGCTTGAAAGGTATACCTGAAATGAGCTCAGAAGTTAAGACTCTTTTACTTGAAATATGATCCACAACCACAGGGACATAAAAACCTTGTAAGTCAGTGTTGGATAGCAGTTGGAGAAATCGTTTTTGATTAGATGCCTCCAACTCATAGTCGCATTCACGAGATAGTTCTTCTTTTGCAACCTAATTAATAAAGATAACAACACAAATACAAATGAAAGAGTAAAACACAAAGTGACAACTGACAAGACAAGGGGATGTTCATGTTCATCATTACTGGTAATGGTAATAGTAATGGTAAAGCTACCTTGATTGCTCGGTCGAGGTAAAGGCCTTTGGGAATTAAATTAGTATAATTCAAGAGAAGCTTGACATTCTCAATGTCACTTTCAATGCTATCTGCAACACCTAGGTACTGAATTTTCATGGCGACATCCATGCCATCCTTTGTAACAGCTCGGTGCACCTGGCCAATACTGGCGGCGGCGATTGGTTGATAACCAAAAGAAAGCAGAGAAGAGGACCAATGAGGTCCCAATTCAGATTCCAAGACTTGATTGAGCTGCTTTCTGGGCATGGCATCGGCGCCTTGACGAACTATGTCAAGAGCAGCCAGAATGGGAGGAGGAACAAGAGACTCGTCCTGAATGCTCAACATCTGCCCGATTTTCAGGGCGGCTCCGCGCATTCTGCACAGAGCAAGAGCCAACCGCTCTGCGTTTTGGGGGGACAAGAAGGGATTACTAGCATTATTAGGATTTTGAATTGGAGTGCCGAAAACAAGCCTCTTGGCGGACTCCTGAAGAGTTCCCCAGGCGAGTCCCGCTCCTAATCCCGCGAACCCCAAGGCTCTCGAGAACGGGGTCGACGGAACTCGTCTCTCTCTCGGCCTCCGCCGACCTTCATTCTTATCAATGCTCATCATCGTCTCTTCATTTTGACGTTGATTCTGATCATGATCACGTTGATCATTCTGTTGATGTTGATCTTCTGTAGGTTGATTCTGAATCTGATCCTGATGTTGATCGATTTTAGGTTGATTTTGATTCAATGGAGGAGTAAGAATGGGATTAGGGTTAGGGTTAGGTTTGGAGAACCGGCGGAGGGAGCCTCTGGTGAGGCCGGAGAGGTCGGTGGCGGAGAGCAACGCTTTGTAGAGGAGGGAATTACGAGAATAAGAAGAAGAAGAAGAAGAAGAAGAAGAAGAGCGTTTTGAGAATTCCTTGGCAATCAGAGACACCCCTTTCAGCAACCTCCTTACGTCCTTCATCGGCTCACTTCCCCAATTGATAATTATAATTCTGAAAAAAATAATTAATCCCTCTTCTTCTTCTTCGAAATTCGGATCCGCGACCAAAAGCGTTTCCTTTCTTTTCCCCTAGTTTGTAAAGTTCTAATTTTTATTAATTTAAATACATGGCGATGGTCATTTCTTTCGAGTTTCCATTCAAACCTCCAGTCCAGTCCCCTCTTCTACTCTTTACGTCTGCCGTGTCCGCTTCTCTTTCACTCTTTCTCCGCTCAGCTACTGTAGTTCTACTTTTGCATTCCTCCAATTTTATTCATCAAAATGAAAATGAGAACCCTACTCAAAGAAAGAAAAATATGAGCATTTGTGACAAAAGCTCGAGTATAAATCTACTGTTCAATTTATTATGCGTCAAAATTTAAATTATTTTTTAACTAATTTTTGTGTATTTATCCTGAGATCATGTAGTATGATTTAATTGATTAGACATCATAAATTATTATCTAACCAATCATACCACTAAATATTTGACGATGATCGAGTTACTATAAATTTCATTCATGTCTTTACACCCATAATCAAAATAAACTTGTACAAAAATACGGAAATATGTGTAGTTAATATATAAAATTAATGATAATTAAAATATTTATTATGATAATAGCATAATGAAATAATAAATAAATTGCATAATTATTTAAAATATAAAAATAAATTATCAAAATTTAAACGAAATAAATAAAAACATAAAAATTAAAAGTGTTAAAAATTAAAATCTATTACAAAGTTTAATAAACAAAATAAAGTACATATTTTATTGTATTAAATTTATCAACAATTAGGCTAATATTATAATATTAGGCAAATGAAAGATAACTAACTATAACTATTTTTGAATTATTATTAATTATTATTTTAAATTTATATTTGTAAGTAAATTATGAGTAATATAGTAATTCAATATTAATATCAGAAATGAGAGTCTCAATTCCGAAGGAGACGTAAGATTGCTAATCCCATTTTTCAATCTCAAATTTAAACGAGGCCTACCAATCCAACCCCATTCTAGAATAACAAAAAAAAAAAAAAAAAAAAAAAAAAAAAAAATGGGGGTTTAAAAAAAAAAAAAAAAAAAAAAAAAAAAAGTAAATGTGTGATTGACTCTCATTCTCCAATTATGATAAATAAAAATGTAAGTTATTTACCAGCTTGTTGGAAAATGCTGAGTTTAAGATAGAGTCTTCATGTTATGAGTTTATCGATATTAGTTGATCTGATTTTCCATCAAATTTAGAGCATCTATTAAAGATTCATATATTTCGCTCAATTTCTAGTGTATCTTTTTTAATGATTTCTGTTGGTAGAGTTTGGTATACACCATTTTTTCTTAAACTTCATTTGAGTTTACTGATGAAATAAAAGGTCTGTAGATGTCTTGTTTCATATGGTAACAATTATGTGTACAAGTTGATGTTTGTATTTCCTTTTCATGTTTTAAAATATATTTATTCATTAAAAAAAAACTGACAACTTTAAAAATTATTGTTGAACTATTTTTAAAATGCGCTTGATTGTAGGTGTTTTAAATGTAAGGAAAATCTGAAATTGTATATATTCATATTTGATAAATGAAAAAAAAAAATTAGAAAACCCAATAGGCAATATAGCAATTAATAAGTTCTGAAAGGAAAGCAAAACGGAGAAACACCTCAATTTTATCAAAATAGTCTTTTTTTTTTTTTTTCCATTAGTCGACATCTAACTCTGAAATAAGACAACGTCTTTTGATGTTTCAAATTTCAAGTGAAAGCAGAATTAGAAAAATGCAAGTTTGTTTAGGCTTCGTTTATTTCGCTGATTCGAGTTTAGAATTCGAGTTGAGATGTGATTTTATGTGAGAGCTTTTTCCTGTAGCAAAAAAGTTAGATATGACTGTTTGTGAGAGCTTTTTACTGTAACAAAACTCGAATTCTAAACTCGAATCAGATAATTAGTTTCTATGCATTCAAATTAAATAATTTAAATTAAAAGTTAAATTTTTTATAAGAAAAAATAATGCAATAAAATCACTAATCATTAATTTGAACGGCCTTGAAGTTTGAACTCACTTTTGTTTGCAGATTGTTTGCATTACTGCAAAACCACAAGGAAGACAAGAACTGATAATGAACGACATGTCGCTATTTTTTTTTTTTTTTTTTTTTCACATGTGATAAATTGCAGGAAAAAAGACGTCGCACATTATAATAAACGACATAAAAGTTTACAAGTTAGAAAACGACGTTAAATGTCAAGCACGGCATGTCGTTAAAATTTAATAAAAGAACAAATTTTATAACAGAAAATGACAGGTCGTTAAATTTTCATATAAGAAAACAAATTTTATAACAGAAAACGACCTGTTGACTATAATTTTGTTGTTAAAACTTGGTTTCTTGACAAGTGTATGGTTTAACTAAAATTTTGTTGTTTGTTTTAATTTCTGGACAAGTGTATGGCTGTGTATTTCTGGTGGTTGCAAGAAATCTAAAGGGATTTATTAATAATATAATAAGATGATATTTCAAGTTAGTGCAAAGATGATCATGATCAGACATCTCCATTTCATTTTGATGATGCAACTTCCCAGGGATCCGATTCCTTTTGCGATGACGCAAACAAACAAATAAATAAAATATTAAATCGTTGATCCATATGTGTGGGCGCGCAACATTCAGTGTGTTGGAACCATTTTTTTGAGTGGATATTCTCACCATATTAACTATTTAGTACAATTAATATTCTTTATGCATGCCTTTAATATTATCGTGAGAAATTCATCAACAAAAATACAAGGAAAACAAAGAACAAGAGTAAGAATAAGAACTTAATATATTCGTATTCGTATATAATCTTGTGTTGTTGTATTCGTATATAATCTTGTGTTGTTGTTGGTTGGATTCGCTGAATCAAGTTCCCTCACTAGTTGAGTTGAAGATTAGATGATGTATACTATATTTATATTTATACTTACACATGCATAATATATAAGAAATAGCACTAATTGCTTTTGTTCACAAGAGTGCCATTGCCCAGTATATATGTATAAAGAATATATTATTGGCCATGCCAATAATATATATATATATATGAGCTAAATGAGATATTCATATATACACATACAGGTATGGATTGGGCGGGATCTGATGAGACACCCATTAAACAAAATTTAACTATTAAGTATTAAATACGTGAATTACTAAGAGAATAAACGAGGCTTAATTCCCTGAAAAGCAAACTAACATGACTTGCTTTTTCTATTTTTTGATCCCAAAAAAAAAAAAAAAAAACATGAATCAGATGGATAAAGTCAGAGGGCATCAGAAAAAGCAAGCACCACGCCGCACATTCCAAAATCCGACTTCAACTTGGTAAATGGTGGATGGATCTCCTCCTTTCTTTCCTTCCTTCACTACTACTCTTTTAACCTCCATTCTTCTTCACAAGTTCATATATTATAAATATTGTTATAGGATAAAGAGCCTTCCAACCTGGCTACCTAACTCTCATAATTATAATAATATCATCGTCCATTTGAGCCTTTCCTTGTACAAGGTAATTAAATTTCTTGCTGATTTCTACTCTATCTTCTCATCAGCCTTTACTTTTATTCAGTACTTCAGATCATATATATATATATATATAT